GCAGCCACCTTGAGACCATGAGGTGACAAGCCTGAAGATAAAAGTCAACATGCCAAGGATGGCCATGTGAAAGATGTAAAGAACTGAGGTCCTTGTTGTGGCTGAATGACTGAACATTCCTTTTAAGAGAAGTTTAAAAATCCCCTTCCTGCCATTCTGAGTTGGGTCTTCTGTTTTATTTCATAGACAAAAGCAACCCAGCTGATGGATGCGCTGATGTTCAATGCAGGCAGTTTGCTCTGGAATGAGTGGGGCCCAGGAGGTGGAAGGAAACTGGGAATGTGGGTCAGCGTAATCCTAGGAGGCTGCTGTAGGAATCAGTGAGTGGTGATGAGACAAGTCTGTGGGGTGGGGTGGAGGAAGTGGGTTGAATAAATAGGAGAGATTTAAAGGAAACAGGACTTGGAGACTGGTGGCATGTTCCAGATTATGCTGAGGTTTGGGGATTGTGGTTACAGTCACTGAGACAGGACAGAGGAGGAGGAGAAGCACATGAAGATACTTGGTGGAAATGATGACTTGTAAGTTACCATATGCACTTTGCAGATGAGATACCCACGAGTCACTCACTGGGGATAGGGATGTCCACCAATCCCTTCACTACCGAGTGCTCAGTAGATGACAAGTGAAGATACTCAACAATAAATGAGTGAGGCTTAGAAAGAAAAAATACATTATTTGCACTTATAGTTAGAAGCTGAGAAGCCAAAATACTCAAGGTCTCTAATTTTTTCCAGCACATTCTACCACAAGCCAACAAATGAGAAAAAGGTTAAATCACAGATTTTGAGGCAGAGGAGGAAACTTTTACTGGTATATATGGAATAAAAGTGGAATCATTCTCTTAGGTCATATTAAGAGGGTATCTGAGTTTTCCATTAGTGTATGTTTTGTGAAGGAGTTTCTAAAGAAAGATGTTCAAGAGGGATGCATTTAGGGACATCTGAGAACCATATATTATACCTCAGTACTGAAATATTCAAACTGAAAGAGATTCCTCTCTTTCAGCTCATACTAAGAGAATCATCATTTCCACCAAGTATCCTCATTTGGTCCTCCTCCTCCTCTGTCCCCTGTCTCATTGACGGTGCCACAATCCAAAAGCCTCAATTATAATTTGGGACATGCAACCAAATGTTTTCCAAGCCCTGTTTACTTTAAATTTCTCCTATTTCTAAATTCGCACTTAGAAAATCAAGCACAAATTTTAAAATTTATAGTCTGTTCACTCTCTGGAGTGAATAGAGACTAACTTAAACCCCTCTGAGATCACTTGTCACAAGTGATCTTTGAAATTATCTTTGAAAGACTCAGCGAACAGCTGTTCACCATTTTATGCAGGAAAATCATTAAAGTACTAGAAGATATTTTCAACATCTTCTCAAATTTTGTTCTTTTAAGAGAAATAATTGTAATTGCTGGACTTCCTAATATATATCATTCTTCCAATATTTTAAAATCTTTTTGACTTTTTTCATGGCATCCTTTCTACCTCCACTCCCCCACACACCTTATTTTTCTTCTTTCCTTTTTTGGAACTGAAGATTGAACCTGGGATTTYGCATATGTGAGGCAAGCACTTTGCCACTCAGCTACACTTTTATCTACACTCTTAATGTAAGGGACCCAAACCTTATCAAACATTGTTTTCAACGCCTTTGTTTCTACTCTCACGTTAGAATTGCAAGAACTTAAGTATTTTTCCAGAATTAAACTAAATATGTGAAAGGCATGGCAGTAGAAAATACTGGCCTTAGACTCTAAGAACTAATGGTTAAAGATTGGATGCAAGATGCATCCAAGAGCAATGTTGTCATAAGCGGTCAAGTGCCAGATTGTGGAATAAGGACCAGGAGTGCTTTGGAAATTCAGACAAGTAATAGGGCACCATGGGCTGAGGAAGGACAATGAATAGTACCTGCAGAGTGTGCCTCAAGGAACATCTAGGATTTGGTGGGAAGAGCAGAAGGACAGAAGGCTGGAGTAGCAAGATCTGGAATAGATCATTTATGCAGAAATTACATCCAAGATACTCATTTTTAAAAGTTTTTCCTCCAAAGCCTTGTATTTACTTTGCTACAGATTTCATCTAGATGGGTGAAGGACATTATCTCTCCTCTTCCAAAGACGATCCTGTCATAAATCGATCTATTTGTCTTATATAACTAGTGAAAAGCAGGTTGAATTTTAATTCTCTCTGTGTTCTCAATTCATATTTTGGTATTCAGCATATATGGAACATTAAGAAACCAGGGCCCAAGCATCATACAAATTTGATAGGATTAAACATACTAGAGGCTCAATCAACGTTCATTGAATCAATGAAAGAAAAAAAAAGGTGGATGGAATGTGGAAACATTACTTCTCATTAATCTTCCAAATTTTAGGTAAGCAGTTATTTAAACATAACTTAAATAGTATTTTGAATTCTACCCTTAGGTTTGAATATTTTACTTGCCAGGTCTTTAAGAATACAGAGAACTCATAAGTTTTCTTTTCTTTTTTTAGATCAATTATGCTTCTTTGGTTTCTTTTGGTTTTGAAAGTTCTTGAAATTTTCAATAAGCAACAAAAGTTCTAATGTGGGCAGTTCCATTATTTCTTCCAGGAATAGCCCAAACCTGAAATTTCAAAAGATAGCTGAACAGAATTCAAGGGAAGGCTGAGATAATTTGGTTCATCCTTTCAATACTCTAAAGGAAAAAATTTCTTTAAAAATTCCAGGAAACATTTATAGTCATCTAAAAGAACTATTGCCTTTTTAATCTACAGAGCCAGGGAGGGGAGTGGAACCAAGAATGTGAGGAAAAAACAAGTAGTTATTTACAATAACAGACTCCTCTCTCCCAGAGGTAAATTATTTTGGAGCAGCAGTGAACTGCAGTCCTTTGCATAAGTAAGAGCTGGGTAAGATAAACATTGTGGAGCTGCCAGATATCTGGAGGACCATCGCAGCATTCCAACGTCCCTGTGTTGTTCACAGTGCAAAAAGTCCAGCAGCCTTGACCCCAGCCTGGCTCATTCTCAGGGTGACTTTGGCCCTGTCAGCAGTGAYGACTTGTACTGTGTCGTTTAACCCTTCTGAATCTGTTTCTTCACCTACTTCACAGGATGGTGGTAGGACTCAAAGACAGTGTCTGCAAAACTAGCACCCCATAAATAGCAAGAGCTCAACAAATTCTAAGTTAATTACTCAGGAATGGTAATGGGCTCAAATTCCCCACGCCACTTCAGCAGGTGGATATCAAATCTGACCTCATCATGGCTGAGAAGGACCAGGCCTCCTTCCCTCAGGTGAAGACAATCAAATCAATTCGTGCTTTCCACACAGAACCTTCCTCAGGAATCAGGTGGACATGCGGCGCGATCTCGCCGTCACACACGACAAAGCCAGAAACAGCACAAGGTTTTGTGCCCCGATACTGTTGTAGGTTCTAGTTCCTTCTCACTTCCCATGACCACCCCAGAGGGTCTCCAGGGCCGTTCACCCTCTTCTACCAGTCTGCTCCTCACAGCTGCCACCTGAAGCTTCCTTAGGGGTTCTCAAATTTCAATAATTTCCTTTTGAAAAGTTTAGGCTCAGTAAAAATTCAAAATTTCAAGCAAATTATTCTATGTGATGTACAGGGCAAACTCTCTTCCCTTAACTTCCATCAAGTTTATCAATGACATATATGTCGATATATGGATCTGTCCAGAGATGACACCATCATTGTTAATGACATACATAACAAATGAAGAGAATTTGGGTCCATGTATTAGGGTTTTTTTTTTTTTTTGTGCTGGGACAGAACCCAAGACCTGGTACATGCTGGGTGAGTGCTTTACCACTGAGCTACATCCCCAGCCCAGGTTCTTGTATTAGAATAAAGGAAAACTTCTATTTCTAGTTATGGAAGATTAATATAAACCTTAAAACTTAAAATGTGCTTTAAAACCTTCAATATCTCAATAATAAGCTTTTCATAAATCTTAAATCTGTGTAGTATGCTGTTGGTGAAATCTATTTTGCCGACAAAACAAAAACAAAACAAAAACAAAACTAGAGTGGGGTGTGCCTTGAAGACACTGTTTTTGTATCTTTGAAATGTTTCGTAGTTTCTGGAAACAATAATGTTAAAATGTCCAAAGTCTGGCCTTCCTATTTGTGTAATACAAATACAGACTAATTTGCAGATGGCTCCTTGAACAAGATTTTGATTATGTATATAACAGTGCTGGGGACCACAGRAGTCAGGAACAGTTAAGAGCACTTTTCCATGCCTGGGCTTGGGCACATTCATGAGGTTGTACAAGTTTTGTCTTCTTGAGACTGTTCTGCCTCTATTTCTGTCACCTCCTCAGGTCAATTCCCACTTCATAATTCCATCCTTGTCCCCAGAGACTTAGGGCTTCTCTTCAGGATATGTATGTGATAAAAATCATAATCAGGGCAAGTCAGTTTATATCCAACCTCTTAATGGAAGTCTTTGCATTAAGGAAAAAACATAATTAGCAGGAAGAACCCCACCCTCAAAGAATGAATCTCTCATGGTAAAGTTTCAGATGCCACGCTCTTTGGGTAGAGAATTTAGATCAGTAAAGGTTTCCTGGCACAGGGCAGAATGAGAAGGGTGTCAGTGATCCTAATTGCCTTCTACTCTGTTTTTCAAATTTTTGATTGTGAGATCACTGTGGTACAATCACCAGAGATACCTCTTTAAAAAACAAAACAAAACAACTGATTTCTAGGCCAAATCCTAGAGTCATTAAATCAGAATCTCTGGGGGGGGAGGGGAGAGGAGCTTATCATTTAGAAAGAAAAGACAGATGGGTAACAAATGCAAACTGAATACCATTATCTCAACTTTAGAATCATCAAATTATACCTGATAGACAAAAGCTTAGGGGTTCCATGCATCACTTGGCCTACGAGTAGCCACTGTGCCTTGGTAAATAGAGATTTTATTTTAAATCGGTGGCCATACGTAAGGAACATGGACTTCATCCTTTTGTCTTACCAGGCACGCCAGCTTGGATCCAGAAGTTAATGTCCACCCCTTCACCATCACTGAAGACCTGGGTGACGTTGAGGGGCTGCAGCAGGCGCATCACCTCCTTCATGATGGCCCTGGCCTTATCACTGCCAGTGAATTGCAGCCCCGTGGGTAAGAAGGTTCCCGAGTCAGACTCCATCACCAGGCTGTAGTTGGAAATATTTACCTGAACAAAAGAGAGAGAGAGAGAAAAAAAATGTTTGGTTCCTATCTGCCGCTTCTGTGCTTTCTCCTGGGGGAACAATCAAAGGCCAAGACAGACGTGGCTCTGCCTGACTTAGGGTCTGGTCTGCACGTGACCTGATGGTTCTGAGGTGCACAGTCACTTACCCTGAGATTTGCCAAACTCAAGCCCTGCCTTGGAAGGATTAAAAAAAATACAATGAAGGGAAATGTATTAAAGCTGCTCAATCATTTCTATCAGCAATGTTATTCTTTCAGCTGATTTTCTGCTTGTGCCAGCCCCTCCTACGTGGCAGGGATCTCCAGGGAGCGTTGGACGTGCTCAGACAAAAGGCGGCGTGCCCTGTGGACTTGTTTCCGCACTTCTTCCCTCCACAGAGATATTCTATCTCGTTTTAATTGTGAGTTCTGCTGGAGCTAAAAGGCCTCAGACTGGCAGGTGTGTCTTGGGTTTCTGGTTTTGTTGTTGTGCCATCTGTTGAATCCCTGGGGAGGCACTAATAGAACAAGACATGAAACACGGCTCTCCCTGGTGTGGAACCACAGCACTCTAATCCCAGGCAACTCTGCCAGGCTGCCAGTTTGTAAACTCTTCCCCAACAAAGTCTGGTAAGAGAGCCTGCAGTGATTTGATGTAGCCAGTATCGTCACTGCAAGAGCTTCCACTGTAACAGGCTCTCAACAGGTTGCACGGCTAAATTGCTACCCAGCCCTGACTTGCGAATTTCAGGGCCTTCAAGCTGGTCAGGCCCTCTGTTTCCCAAGAGCCACCCCCTTCTCCAAGACTGATCAGCTATTTGGTTGAGTTATTCCCAAGCTGTCTTTGGATAGCACTATTACTCATTCTTCATTACTCATCTAGTACAAATCAATAATCACATCGGTATACTGCTTCCAGAGAGTTTCCACATTTGCAGTCTCTTTCGGTCTTCTCTGGAAACTCATAAAATCAACAAAGAGGCTTTATTATTGATGCAGTTTTATAGGAAAGAATCTGAGGATCAGAGGGGTCAAGTGATTCATTCAAAGTCACACAGCAGGCAAATGGTAGCACCTGCTCTGAATTCCTTTGCTTTCTGAAACTCCACAGTGCCACTGCTGGCATGGATATGGGAGTGGTCACTTGTTCTGCATTAAGATGACTTTTCACTTACATAACCAATTTGAAAGTTGCATAAGTACCTTTTCTCCTGAAGCAGATTCCACTTTATAGTGATTTCTTAACATTTGCTGTGGAAACATACTGAGGCCACAAAAAAGCAAGGGCAGAGGCRGGTTCCAAGGGAGGGTACTGCCAGCATTTATAGGCCTGAGCAGGAGGCCCTGAGACGCCTGGATTTTTGTTGTCRTTATTAATGGTGAGGAGGTTAACGAAGCAGAAGCCTGCTCGTGTTTCCACTTTCATTCTAAGGAATTTTCTGTCTTCATGGTGATTTTCACTGAAAGACCCAAGTCATTTATAATAGAAAGGGCCACCTCGGCTTTCAGCTGGTGGCTACAGTATTACGGTAGGAGCATCATTAGAATTAATAATATGCAAAATATTTGCATTTGTGGCCTATATTCAGGGATCATTTAACTGTACATTGCTGCTAGGTCAGCAGGTGACTTGCGATTTGGCAGTACTAATTCTTTCCCCTTGAAGGCCTCCAATCCTCCTCACCCCGAACTCTGCCTAACCTGTAAACAGGAGAAAAAAATCAAGTATATTTTACAAATGAAAACAGAATTGGGTGACTTTATATGTAAGGGTTCCCATATTGTGGGCATATTATATGTTTCCAACAAGAAATTCATGTGAAGGGCTCCTAATTGGGTACTATTTAGGTTAAAAGTGGAGCTAGTGAGCAGTTTAGCAGTCAGATCCCACACTAATGAGCAGCCAATGARGTGGACCAGGCTTGGATTCATTTGTTCTCTTCCTGACATAGCAACTGACACTCTGGGTTACTAGGATGGAGAGACTGGCCTCCTCCTTCTCCCAAAGTCACCCCACCTTAGCCCTTGCCTTATCATCTTCAGGTTGGGATAAATGCTCTTTCCTAAGCTCTAACAATGAACCTGTGCACTTGGAGCTTCTAGCACCTCTAAAGAAATGACCTCTGTAGACCAGGGTGAAAGCGTTGCAGGAACTCAACTTACAGTGGCTTCTAACAACATGTTCATTAAGTGCTTCCTGGCTTCCTTTAATTGCAAATGAACAAATGTGGTAAGGACAGGGGACTTCACAGTTTGGGAGTGCCACTGTGCCATGTCACAGGATGTTGACAGGAGTATACAGAGTAATGTAAACAAAGAACATTTCAAAGGTAGCATGAGCTATCTATGTGGCAGCCATTTTCACAGAGAGACGAAAAGTATGGGCTTTGGAGTTTGCCTGACTGGGTGGCAGCCTCTTAGTAACCAATCTTTAGTGGTGTGACTTTTGCGTGCTCCATATAACCTCTCAGCTTCTTCTGCCGTGAAATGGGGACAATACTGCCCCACCCTCAACCCAGCTCATGGAGTTGTGAGCAACTGCATTGCAGAGCCTGGTGCACAGTTAGCACTTGATAAACAGCAGCATGATTGTGTGACTGTTCTCAGAACTGGCCATCAATACCTCGTAGACTGTCAGGATGGTGCCAATACCAGCTATTCTGTTAGCTGATTATGATGATGACAGGTTAGCATTTTTCAGTGCCTCCTGCAAGACAGACACTGTGGAATGCTTTGCAGCTCATCCCATGTGCTGTAAGATAACTGCTGTTATATTTATTTCACAGACAAGACACTGAGGTTCATTTGGCTTCCCACCTTCCCCACAGTTCCCTGCTAGTAAGCGGTGCAGTCAGAACTCACAGAGGTCTGCCCCTCCAGGCGTGGGGTCTCAACCCCACTGCCCTGTCTCCCGAGGTCACCTCTGACTTTCTCTGACTTTCCAGCCACCAGTCCACACTTTTAAATCAGAAATTGAGACTGTAGCTGAAGAAACATATAGATTTCTTTTTTTTTAACTTCATGATCTCAGTATAAGATCTGCTTAGATAGAATTTATTATCCCAGCTAATAAAGCAATTTAATAATAAAATAATAGACAAAGAGAGGATAGAAAACAAAAGCAAAAACTCTTGCTCCAGATTTCTTCCCAACTAGGAATAAAAAGCCTAATTTAATAAAACATTTTTTATAGCCAAATAACACAGGATGTGTAGGTATCAGTAAGCCAGCATTCTGGCGTAGGAAGAGATGTTTGATTTCCATTCATGTAGAGTTGTATTAGCTGCTAACATGATGGTAGCTTTCTATTGTTTCCTATTTATATATAAACTTCTCCATATGTTTTCAATAAAGAACTAAGAAAACAAACCACCCACTGTCCATGACACTGCCTTTGCTCCACATTTATGGAGTCATTATCTAATTGTTAGCACATGGTGAAGGATTTGGGAAAACAAAATTGTCTCTGCTCAGAGAAGCTGAGATGGATCAATGGGTCCCCGGGCTGCTACAACTGTTGCTTCCTAGGAGCCAAAGTCACAAACATCCAGATTCCTTATATGCCATGAGCTTTGGGTCATGTTCAGGGTGGATGTGAAAACCTGACCATTGCTAGTGACAAGGAGCAGGCCAGGCCCGATTTACCCAACTCCTTCTAGCACACACACCAAGACAGTCTTCCTCTGGTTTACAGGGTGTAGGAAGAAACCTGCTTCAAGAGACGGGAGGCTTTATTGCTGAGATAACCAGCACCCATGGAGACAAGCTCGAGTGTACGGACGAGGAGGCCACGCTGTTCAACGATAAGCTCAGTTATTATCTGCAACCCCCCCCCCCACTTTGCTCTCTTAATAAAGGAATCTCTCTATTTGGYGCCAGGGAAACTGTCATTCATTACCACATGATGTGCATAATGTAACGTAGAGAAATGCCCCCAGGGAACCTCCCTGGTTGGGATCATTGGATTAGTTAATATCTGCTCAGAGTTGAGGCTTTATGGCTTTGTCATGTGCTACAATCACATCTTATAACACTTCTTTTTTTTTTTTTTTTTTTTCCTCTTAAGGGTCAAGCAACTCTGCCAAAAACCAGTTTGGTAACCATTCACATTCTTTGGGTGCAACGCAAGATTAAAAAGAAGAAGACTGTTTAAAATACATATTGCATGTTTTAAAATGCTCACTTCCTAATATAAACACAAGGATGATGTTTGTATTCTTGGCTTTTATAAAATTCCAGGCGATTCTTCTTCAGAAATAAAGACCCAAATTCCATAACATCTCCTCTCCACCCCCGACCCCACCCCCCAATTTGGTTTCTTCTTTGTTTAAAAGCTTTTCATTTTCTCATAACCTACAGAGAATAACTGATGAGAAAACCAGGAGAAAATCAATGCGTTTCTCTCATCTTTCTCAAAATGTCTTTGGTTTTGACCTAAAGTGACACTGAAATCCCAAAATCAAATGAAAAGAACAAGAGCCCCCTCATTATTTTAATTAATCATGTAGCCTCATATCAATCATCAAAGAAATAAAGTTCAGCTGGGCACAGTGGCACACACCTGTAATCCCAGTGGCTCAGGAGGCTGAGGCAGAAGGATTGCGAGTTCAAAGCCAGCCTCGGCAAAAATGAGGCGCTAAGCAATTCAGTGAGACCCTGTCTCTAAATAAAGTACAAAATAGGGCTTGGGATGTGGCTCAGTTTTTGAGTGCCTCTGAGTTCAATCCCTGGTACCCCCCATCCCTCCCATAAGAAGAAATCCCCACTGACACAAGGCAATCAGCCCTGGTAGGACTTTCTTGCCCCACTGAATGTTAACATTTTATGGTGGCGGTGACATATTTTACACAGGTAGTGGTGATGTTGCTTGGCCAGGTAGTGGGCACAAAATGGGTTTTGAAAAGCAGTTCATTCCCAGATGTGTGAGCTGAGCCACTGCACTCATCTCTCATAGCCGGCTGATGGCCCTGGAGTCCCCTGCTTCCAGGGTGGAGGTGGAGGTAT